CACCGCCGCGCACGTACAAGATATGACAAAGAAGAGAACTGCGTTGTAGTTGTTGGTGCAGACGTTATATCAGGCCACCCAGGTTCTGTAACATTATTTTGACCCCCTGTGTAATTACGTGATTAAGTCGCCCCCATCCCGGCTAACTGCGGAGATGGGACCTTGCTATAAGGCCCTCACTAGGTTGAAATACACTCGTACAAGTTTAGTCAGTGCTTAAGGTACAACCTTTGTTTTGGTGTTTTACGAGAGATTCAAGCGGGACATGCAGCTTGATGCGAACCTGTTTACTGTGATGCTGCACATTCGTGAAACATCAAGCGAAAGGGTATGAGGGAAAATAGTTTGAAAAGATTAAACGAGATACGTATAACAAAACGTTCAAACGATTACCTCGTATGAAATATGTATAAAATGATACGCCAAGGCGTAATGGTAAACCTCAAAGGTTTCAAATGATTCACGGCCGCGTTTTGTACTCGTGTCTTTAAAGGACTTCGTTGTGAAGAACACTTTCTCGAACGGGTTCTTTTGAAGATGTATGTCGCCTGTGTATAATAAACATGGGCTTAATTTCATGGGAGGAAATTAAAACTGCACTTTACGACCTGAAATGATTTCGTAACGAAATATTAAAACATTACACAAACTGTCCCATATATATATGCACAGCTAAAACAACAACGTAACTGGAAAACGAACAATACCGACAACCGGAAAACACGAAGCGTCTCCCTGTTTCTCAATCACCTTCGAGACTTGATTATTTTCTAATTAGATAGAATGATGATTTTAGTTTCACCGTACTGAGTGAAATCTTTCCTGATTGTAGGGACGCTTCAACATGTCAGATGTGCAGCATATATTTCATCCTAATTCACTTCTAACCAGCGTGAGCTGATAATTAAAGGCACCAGGCGATGGTTAACAGACTGCATCAATATGGCGTAAAGTGAGAACGCGTAACTTCAACTCAAAATGATTCAAAATTCACATTACAAATCCTGTAACATTACCAGAGGATACGTGATTACATTTAACGGTGTCATCAGAATTTTAATGTTACCAGAAGATACGCTGTTACAACAAACTGTTGATCAGCGATACAGTAATGTTACAAGAAGAGGATTCGTCGTCACAAGTAACTGTTGATCAGCGATGTATTAATGTTACCAGAGAATAAGTCTTTACAACTAACAGTTCATTAGAGATATATTACTGTTAGCAGAGGATACGTCGTCACAAGTAAGTGTTGATCAGCGATATATTAATGTTACCAGAGGATACGTCGTCGCAAGTATTTGTTGATCAGTTATATAGTAATGTTACCAGAGAATATGTCGTTACAAGTAACTGTTTATCAGCGATGTATTAATGTTACCAGATGATACGTCGTCACAAGTAACTGTTGATCAGTTACATGTATATAGTTATGTTACAAGCAAGAAGATACGTGGGTACAATAAATAATGCGACAAAACCCTTTCCATATCCAATAGAAATCTCTGCATAAAGCAGAGTCGATTGTACGATTCCGACTATTGATCAGCGATATATAATAGTGTTACCCGCGAATACGTCGTCACAAGTCACTGTTGATCAGCGATATATAATAGTGTTACCCGAGAATACGTCGTCACAAGTAACTGTTGATCAGCGATATATAATAGTGTTACAAGAGCATACGTCTTCACAAGTAACTGTTGATCAGCGATACATAATAGTGTTACCCGAGAATGCGTCGTCACAAGTAACTGTTGATCAGCGATACATAATAGTGTTACCCGAGAATGCGTCGTCACAAGTAACTGTTGATCAGCGATACATAATAGTGTTACCCGAGAATGCGTCGTCACAAGTAACTGTTGATCAGCGATATATAATACTAGTATTACCCGAGAATACGTCTTCACAAGAAACTCTTGATCAGCGATATATAATAGAGTTACCAGAGAATACTTCTATACAAGTAACTGTCGATCAGCGATATGTAATAGCGGTATACGGGATACGTCTTTACAACTAATCAGTTATATAGTTATATTACCAGGGGATACGGTGTCTAGCTTGCCCTGGGGACGCAACGCGGCAGAGAGAATTGCGGCGCCTTAGACAATTGGGACACCCGTGCGCCCCCGTGTCATCAGCGATATAGTAATGTTACCAGAGGATACGTCGTTTCAAGTAATGGTGTCATCGGCGATTTGTTAATTCCACTTGAGGATACGCCTTTACGAATAACAGGTGATGAGATATACAGTAATCGTCCGGTAACATTAATTAATCTCTGGTCACCTGTCCAATGTAACGTCGTATCCTCTGGTAATATTACAATATCCCTGTCGAACTGTTAGCCTTACATTATCAACATATCGATTTGATAACAATTGATTAATACGGCTAATTTCTTGGACGTGTTCCTTCAAATAAATAACCGTAAGTAAAACAGTTTCATGACATGTAACCACACCGCATCATAGCGAAATATATATTAATCAAATTTATATCTGCATTATCACCACCAAACCATACGTAGCCTTGTTTAAACTAAGTCCGATTTGAATTGCATTCAGAATGTAGGCTCCGCGTGACATGTCCAGACCGGGAAAACAGTACAGCAACACCCCATTTAAGTGGACACTGTCCTTCAGTGGGGCTCGAGAACACGACCCATGGCGATCTAGGTGGTCCGAGCGGCAGCATGGCGAGCACCCCACACCACAATACTGGACAATGACGGTGACGGACGCCCGTCCCCTTAAGTCTCCTCGTGGATGCTGTTCCCTCCCTTCACCTGCGCGAGATAATGAGACAATGGGATGCAATTGTTGCCTACCACTGTCCAGAGCAGAACCATTGTTCTGCGGCTGGCGTACCGGTGACTGGAGTCAAGTATTCACTCGGACCAAAACCCGACACTTCCTCTCTGACCTAACTATCCGAAGTTTTAAGGACCGATGGCAGCTCGATGACGCCTTATAAGTGTTGATATAACAAATCACCACAACAGTCGTTTAGTATTTATTTTTCGTTTGGTCGAATTGGCAGTTTTGGCATCTCTGCTGAGCAATGCAGATTCACTGACAATATACTATAATATATTCGTGTGTTCGGGGTGCATGTATACGTGGTACGAGTGAGCTAAATGTACCAATGATTCTAGAATCTGACGTATTATATATTAATACATGCCTTTTGTTAAGATTCTCTTTGGGGGGTTATGGGTATCATTACTTGAATTGATGGACTAAAATTCATTATACTATTTAGGGACATCATACCCTGATATTCATGATATGATTATACATCACTACCTGTTAGATTGATATTGATATGATTTAGGATTCACATTAACAGCCGGATTGAATTATTTATAAAATGTTAGTTACCTTTAGCCAACAAACACATTTGAATCAAACTTTCCAGGACGATCCGAGGTCCCATCGCCTACATACAACATAGACGTATATATGTATGCAATATGCATTTTACGACCAATACTGAAATGTGTAAATATGTTCCCATGATAGCTTCACACACTTATGCAGTTTGTGTAAAGGGTGTCACTACAATTCGTTCTCGATTAGGATACCATCCACTACGCATTAACCCAGTTTACGCATATAAGGTATAATAACCCAGTGTTGCCACTGGTAAAGATAAAAGAACGTGCTGTCAGTTACGCAAGTGTCTCGTTTTGTTACGAGCCAGGCTTGCAATAAAACGCTGGATGATTTCCTCCTGTACAGGGTCACAGAATACCTTGTCCATACACCCGAAACCAGAGACTTATAAATATTGGTATAGTTATACAAATTATCGTTACCCAGAAACTGATGGTCACTCATGAACAGGCGTTTCTCAGCAAGGGCCGGTTGTTGTGGGATCAGTGCCATCTCGCCTGTTATTCGTGTCATCCTCAAAGCTCGGCCATGTGCTTTACGCTGTAATATTACCACACGCCCCTAAACCAGCCTAGCTGTTATGGGTAGCCATTCGTCCTGAACCCATTGTCTGCAGTAAAAGGTAGCAAGGTTATCCTCTATCCCCTGTTTTATTCCTAAAGCCTGCAGATAAAAGGTGATACGTAAGAATTGTCGTTAATGTGGACTCCGTGATGGGGTTTCTTCTGAGTCTCATGACCTATGACCTAATTATGTCATTAATAACACGGGGGAAGAAGTGTAAATGCAATTATCTTGATCAGTTAAACTTTTTCTAAGTTAGTTATTGATACGCGATCTTGTTTTTGTGATCCTTTATTTTATAGCTCACAACACGACCTATAAATGACAGATGATTCCACTTTAATTACTCAAACAGATGTCAAGACCCTTATAACCTTAACCTTGAAATAATCCTTATGGGGATTCCGAAATTTACAAAGGATGTTTTATTGTAAATAAATATGAACCAAAAATTACGATGTCAAACATTGAAATACAAATACACACAAACAGGTGAGTACTAGAAAATATTAACCGGTAACTCTTGTTGCTGTGACCCCGTATTTATTTACACGAACCCCTATTTAAGAAGAAAAATACACAAACACATCTGCGATATATTTCCGTTCAAACCTGTCATCATTGCTAGATACAGCATGTCAAGATTTGATGGAGTCGCCGATTTATTTTTCGTATTACACACGTATCAGCTGTCTATCGTCTTTACCCCCACGCGCCTCTTCGCGCCCCATGACCCCCAGCGCCCCTCCCTCATCACTCAGTCTCACCCACATCAGTAGCGGGAGGGCAGGATCCCAACCCCACGGGAAAGATTACTGGAATTAAGTGTTAGGGAATCACAAATAAATCAGAGATTTTATCAAATAATTTTGTCACATGAGTATTCTCCGTTGAAGAGAGTGAGTTTTGAGAGGATGATACGGGGATAGGAATGATAGGACGGGGAAACTGACTGGCAGATCTTAATCAAACATAAGATAAAGCTTGACACGAAAATTAGCCCGATGGACAGGCGAAGTAAAACACGGTGAAATTCGATACTGCTACACTTGTTCTCTGCTTGATTTGTCGTGTCTGAGGTAGATGTATGACTGACTGAAAGACAACGGTTTTCCCCGGAGGTTTTAGTCTGTAGACCCACCGTGCTCCGACCAGCGTTCCCCACTGCTCGTTCTTCTTAGACTAGAAGTACACGAGCCGCGCGGCTCAAGGTGGGTGGTCTCCGGCAATTCACTGATAGTCAATATCGGCTACGATCACGGCCGACCAATGAGCAGTTTTAACGTAAACTGTGGTGTATTTCTAAGCGAGCCCACTCCTTTTGGGGAACGAGAGCTGAATATATTAAAAGACTGTTGATCTGGGAAAATTATTTATCTTCAAATTATATCATCAAGAAGACTGAAAATCGAGGGATTAAATAGCTTGCTATCGGGCTAAAGTGTCATTAATCGCTCGAGTGAAGCAAAGTCTGTCGCTTTGGACCTTTTCCTCCAGGAAACCTACGTATGACAATTTTCCAATTGGACTTTCGGAAATGGAAGCAGTGAAAAAGTATTGGACTTTTGACTTAATTATTTGACGGAGACCTTCCGATGAAGATTGGTGTCGACTATGTGTGGGGTCTAATACCTTTCCTGGTTTGTCGTAAATATTTGCTCGGGAGGTATACACGGTTAAACATCGATCTAACCGCATAGGGAATACTAACGTGAAACCAAGCGAACTTGTACTCATCAACTGCGTTCGATCTGCTTAATTGAACTCTGATCACACCTGTGCATTACCTGAGAATTGGTTTGTGAAATCCCTTGCAGAAGAACTGGGATTTGTTTGTTTATGCATATATCTCAGCAAGAGATATTTTATACTGTTTGTTTTGCCGTGGGCTATCTGGGATATTTCTTGTGTGTGAGATACAGTAGTTATCACACACGATGAATGTTCGTGCGACTGTGCTTGTTGTCTTCCTGTGTGGATGTGCAGTGGTAGCGGCTAGACGGAAGAGAGAAAGATCAATACTACGTTTTGCCGACTGTGGTAAGAGGTCCAATTTTTAAAAATGTATTGTCATTTAGAAGAAATGATATTGCCTTATATGAAACATTAAGTGCGGACGCTAATCCCACATTCACGTCTTTTATGGTATGTTTAAAGTCAAATTACTTGAAAAATGATAAAACTATAATTGTTGTTTTCATGCCAAAACGTGTTCGTCATGAAATGACAAGAAAATGTGAATTGTGTTTTGAGATCTTGATGTGTGAGCCATAAAAACTAGTAATCATGTTTATACGAACGATGAAGGTAACCTGCCTATTCTAAACATTTTAGTATGACTTTGTGCTGTTAATGCCCTAGTTTGCATCGCTTAAGAAAACCTAAACAATTTTGCGTCAATACATGTTTTCAACATATTTTAATACACTGATGCATTGGGGCGGACCGATCGGTTAATCTGTTGGAAAAAGCACAACAAACAAGTTTTCCCGTGACACAGTTATGTGTACGTTGTCAATTTCAATCTCTCTACAAGCTAATAGACGTACCGGATTCACCGCTAGCTGTGTTTTGATATAGCACCATTGATAACTGTCCAATATTTCCTTAACTAAACTAATCGCTCAGTTGAGATGTGTTTGTAGGTACGGGAGGGAGAGGGAGGGGGTGGAGAACGGGAGCCTGCTACACACATGTCAGTTGTACGCCTGTGAGTAGCGTTAAAGGTCCACTCACCATTCAAAAAATATCTGTTGGCCTTTAGGACTGCTACTGGAATATATCTCTCAGGATTTGGTATGTTTCGTATTGACATCGTATCCGATATAAATCAATGAACCGTGTACAGTAATGGATAAGTCGAAACCCGCTTTGCAAATATTTCAACTGAACTGTACTTGTATATCTGGCACAGCGGAAAAAAAACATGCCGGGGGATTGTTGTTGGCGGTGGTTATTATTGTCGTTGCTATTAGTTATTTGGTGTTTAAGAAGAAACGAGGCTTATTGGCAGTTTTAGCAAAGTTGAATCAAGTCGTTCATACGCCGCTTTGTTTCTCTGCTCAAAATGTTTTAGGGCTATCACTCTGCTCAGCGTGATTACCCCAATTACGCAGACTGTGTGTATCAGTTCACATATTGCACGTGTTACAACGTGTAGATCAAGGTTGAGAATGAGCACCAGAATGTGGAACTTAAAAAGCGGGGTATCTCGGCGGTTAACTTTACCAGCCGCATGGCTGATCAACGAAGGTATATCTGTATTCTTCATACAATGAGAAGGAAACACCTGTTGAGGCCGGAAGAAATTCCGCCCGTCATAAATGATTGGAATTCATGAGATATCACCCTGATAGTGTTCGCTAGGGAAGTGCTGTAGCAGGTTCATTTATGTTATTAATACAGCTTAAGGGGACTGTGTAGTCAGCTCACGAACGACGAACTTATCTCCCCATCGTATGTGTAAAACCCGTCATGTGCACAGAGGTGGTATATTTATACACCAAACGTTCGCGAATATTGATGCTCGCAGTGGGACGTCCAAACATGTCTGCGTAGTTTAATGCTCGGAGTACTGGTTTGTCTGCTCCAAAGTACCTTGTGATAGATCATTACAGCTCTACCGCTGTCAGAGTGTTATGATTTTCCCGACTTTAAGATCTATTGCAGCATATCATTTACCCATTTTCCTGCTGGTGTAGGGAAGATCGCGTCAGACGAGTGTTCACTTGAACCATAGGGCGACCAAACTAACCTGGTCGTATCGGAATAAAATGGAATATAGCTCAGACCCGCGCGTAAACAATGTAGATTACTCAGATATAAAAGTATGTCACCTATTTTTTTATGGATAACAACTTCTTTTCTTGAAACGTCGTTACAAAGAATATAAGAAGTTCTTATCAAAAATAAATATCAAGCATTTATGTTCTTGCAACTTTTAAATGTCTATCAAAGACTTTAATCAAATATCGAAAAACAATGTCCTTGAGAAATATTCCTACTGTAGTAATTTTAAAAAACACACCTGAACTCATAGGCTTTTTTGTTGTGTTGAATGTGAAGTACGATTGCTTGAATGGTAGTCTGTCATACAGACCCTGAAACAAATTTATCCAATACAGCTTATGCAATAAATGAAGGGATTCTCTGGGATCCTATTTATAATATTTCATTTAGATAATTTAACGATAGTTGTTTTCTGTAAAATATTTTCATTTCAGGGACTAGATGTTAGTCTGCTTGAATGGACAGGGTTCATTCAAGGAATTTTAAATATTCCAGAGGTATGCCAACACTTGCCCACACAGCACAATGTTAAAATGCCCCATTGTTTTTGAAAATGTGGGCTTTTTTCAAATTAGGGGCTAAAAGCACGAAGCCCCACCCTAGAATGATCCCTGAATGGGGTTTATGACAAAAGAAGTTAGTCGTGCCGTTTCTCCGATCAAACGGATCAAACGGATCTCATCATGCCGAACTCCCAGGTTCGATTCTATAAATTGATACAATGATTGGACCCTTGGTGGGGATTGGCATGTGGACCAGTAGTTTAGGGCGCCACAATAAGCTATGTAGAGACGCCGCCCATGGCCTTGCCAGACACCTATGATCGAGGGTCGAATCCCTGTTCGTCCTGATTATTTGTTTCTTGGTTTGTCTGGACCAAACCATGCTCGTGGGTTTCACCAAAAAGGTAAACGTCTAAACCGTCGTCACTTCAGGCTTTCCTCCCACAGTAAGCTGACACGCCGTGATATAACTGAAATACTGTTCAAAAGCGGCGTTAAATCCAACTCACACACTTACTTCCCCTTTGATATACTCATGTGATTGGTCAGTTTCACAGCGTTAGACATTGGCACTAGTCCTGCAGTCGTCGCCATCCTGCCCAATATATTAAGCTATTAAAAGGACTAATAAAAAAAAATGCCCTTTTTAAGGGTTTGCTATATTTTATCATTATAGAGACTAGTGGACTAAAAATGTTTCTATCGCTGTTTCATATGCGACGGTCCACGTCAACACCAGTACAGATTATTCAGTCTTGCTTGGCAACTAGATAAGGATCTTTACCGACTCGTCTCTGTGGAGTATATTAAGCAAGTTGTTATCCATATTTTTACTATATAGAGAGGGTTTTCTTGCGGATGAAAGAATAATTGTCAATGCTGACATCTGATTGCGTTGTCATATTTGTGTAACACTACTCGGGTGGTTTACTCCCTCCGTCAGGACCCGTGAAGATCCGGGTTAGAATAGGTCTACAGCAACCCATGCTTTCTGTGAAAGGCAACTATAACGAGATCGGACGCTCAGGCTCGCTGACCTTGGTTGATGCATGTCATCGTATCCCATATTGCCTGACGTCATGATGTAGCTGAACGTATTATATTGCTTGACGTCATGATATAAGCTGAGCGTAATATATTGATTGAGGTCTTGATGTAGCTGAACGTATTATAATGCTTGGCGTCATGATGTAGCTGAACGTATTATATAGCTTGACGTCATGATATTAGCTGAACGTATTATATTGTTTGACGTCATGATGTAGCTGAACGTATTATATTGTTTGACGTTATGATGTAGCTGAACGTATTATATTGCTCGACGTCATGATATTAGCTGAACGTATTATAATGCTTGGCGTCATGATATTAGCTGAACGTATTATATTGTTTGACGTCATGATGTAGCTGATCATGAACGTATTGTATTGCTTGACGTCATGATATTAGCTGAACGTATTATATTACTTGACGTCTTGATGTAGCTGAACGTATTATAATGCTTGACGTCATGATATTAGCTGAACGTATTACATTGTTTGACGTCATGATGTAGCTGAACGTATTATATTGTTTGACGTTATGATGTAGCTGAACGTATTATATTGCTCGACGTCATGATATTAGCTGAACGTATTATAATGCTTGGCGTCATGATATTAGCTGAACGTATTATATTGTTTGACGTCATGATGTAGCTGAACGTATTATATTGTTTGACGTTATGATGTAGCTGAACGTATTATATTGCTCGACGTCATGATATTAGCTGAACGTATTATAATGCTTGGCGTCATGATATTAGCTGAACGTATTATATTGTTTGACGTCATGATGTAGCTGATCATGAACGTATTGTATTGCTTGACGTCATGATATTAGCTGAACGTATTATATTACTTGACGTCTTGATGTAGCTGAACGTATTATAATGCTTGACGTCATGATATTAGCTGAACGTATTACATTGTTTGACGTCATGATGTAGCTGAACGTATTATATTGTTTGACGTTATGATGTAGCTGAACGTATTATATTGCTCGACGTCATGATATTAGCTGAACGTATTATAATGCTTGGCGTCATGATATTAGCTGAACGTATTATATTGTTTGACGTCATGATGTAGCTGATCATGAACGTATTGTATTGCTTGACGTCATGATATTAGCTGAACGTATTATATTACTTGACGTCTTGATGTAGCTGAACGTATTATAATGCTTGACGTCATGATATTAGCTGAACGTATTACATTGTTTGACGTCATGATGTAGCTGAACGTATTTTATAGCTTGACGTCATGATATTAGCTGAACGTATTATATTACGTGACGTCTTGATGTAGTGAACGTATTATAATGCTTGGCGTCATGTTATTAGCTGAACGTATTGTATTGCTTGACGTCAGGATATTAGCTGAACGTATTATATTGTTTGACGTCATGATGTAGCTGAACGTATTACATTGCTTGACGTCATGATAAACCTGAACGTATTATATTGCTTGACGTCATGATATAGTTGTACATGTGACATTACTATACTCTCTCGGGACAGCATGATACAGTTGAACGGGAGGGGTTGGGTGGTATGGTAGTTAAGCGCTCGCTCGTCACACCGATGAACTGGGTTTGATTCCCAACATGGACACAGTGTTTTAAGCCCATAGCGATATGTCTTAGATATTCCCCAAAGCGGCGAAAACTCCACTTACTCAACTGAACACAAGATAAAACTGGGTGTCA